TCCTCGAGAGCCTGACGAAGCTGATCTTCGGTATATTGAGGCATTATATATAGAAGAAGACATGTGCAAAAGATGAGCCCATTTGGACGCGAATTGAAAATGTTGTGATAAAAGGAGGTTGGGGGTGGGCATTGGGTTGTGGTGGATTTTCGCGTTTTTGTGGGTGCCAGAAACAGGGGGGTGCCAGGAAGTGGGTATGTTGACTTACCACAATATTCGATGGAGTATCTAGTCCCGACACACTGTGATGAACTTATTCCGCGAACCATTTTGCATCTTTCAACGGATTCATTTCCGTTAATTGTGCTCAAGTAAAGTCACGGAAAACTTTCGTGTTCTGATTTACTGACGCCAAAGCAGTTATTTTCGTATCTGGGTAGGACTCACATCCTAATCGAGCCTTCAAATACTTCTGGGCTAAGTCATCAAAATTGGTCAAATCGGCCTTTTCGGCCCTCTTTGGGGATGGGCAACAGGTTGATCGTCCGGATTTGCACTAATCCTTTCTTTTCCCTTTGACCGAGTCGCTCTATTTTGCTCCGATGAATTAGTCTTGTAGCTGTCTAGACTTTGATGTACATGGCCTACCGAGGCCTTCGATGTATGCGTTTTGGTACACGGGTGAATGGATACTCGTTATTTCGGCACTTGTCAAAGTCATGAACATTGAATTAGACTCTGATAGTCGACTCATCCGGGCTTCGTGTATTTCGTCAGGAATTCAGGATATCTATAAATTCAAGTCTACCTCACCCACAAATGCGAGAAACTTTGTCATCATACCTAGCATCGACTGACCTCTTACTTGTACCATCTCACTATGTTCTTCAATCGATTCATCTCGACAGTGGCGTTCGTAGCTGGCTTAGCCAATGCTCTCGCTCAGCTCGGTCCGGTTCAAGGTCTTGATCGACGACAGGAAAAGTCTACACGTTGTGTAGTGCCTGTCAACGGTAACGGCTCTGATGACACGCCCGCCATCCTTGCTGCTTTTGACAAGTGCAAGACTGACGGACATATCATCTTTGAGAACGTCACGTATCACATCGGCCAAGTCATGAAAACTGTTGATCTAAACAACGTCAAGATTGATATCAAAGGGACTTTGCTAGTATGTGACGATGAGCGTGATTTATCGTAGTCTTTTGACGTTAAGAGATTGACTTGAAATACAGTGGAGCAAGAACACAACGTACTGGCTAGCGAATTCTCTGCCAATTGGCTACCAAAATCAAACCGCCGCCTGGGTGCTTGGAGGAAAGCATCTCGATGTGAGCGGCTTTGGCTATGGCACGTTTGATGGAAATGGCCAGACTTGGTATGACTTGGTCAAGGGAGAGTCGAATTACCCCAGTGAGTCATGCTCTGTACGGTGTTGACGAATGCAACTGTCTTACTCGAAGTAGACCGACCTCATGCTCTCTTGCTTGACGGGGCTGAAGACTCGGTCTTTGAGGGTCTTCGATTTGTCCAGGCTCAAATGTGGTAAGTTGCCAGAATGTTCCGTTCTTTTGCTTCTATACAGCTTTGTGGACTTGTATCAACTTCTCGGAATAGGACGGTCACAATCACGCGGTCCAAACGTGTTCTCCTTCAAGACATCTATGTCAACAACACAAGCTCCAACAGAAACCCGGCTCGTAATACCGACGGGGCTAACACCATGTTCTCGGATAATGTCCACTTTCGTCGCTGGATAATCAAAAATGGAGACGACTGCATCGCGGTCAAAGCTAACTCTACAAACATTCTCATTGAAAACGTGGAATTCCACGACGGTCAGGGCGTTGCTATTGGCAGCATTGGGCAGTATGCTGGCCGGTTTGAGGCCATCGAGAACGTAACGGTCAGAAACGTCTTGGCCCATGGATCTCGATATGCCGGTCGCATCAAGACGTGGACTGGTACGCAGCTCGGATATCCACCAAATGGCGGTGGCGGTGGCCTAGGATGTAAGGCGTGACTTCCTACAACGTCGAGTTGAGAATGAGCTGACTTTTCCACTCAGATGCCAAGAATCTCAGTAAGTTGAAGCCAGTGAAAGCTACCTTATGGAGAGCTATCCAAAATAAATATCCCCATGACGTCCGGGACTAGGATGGTGGAGCTAATTGATATTCCCTTAGGTTGGGATAATGTAACCATTTACGACGCAGAACAGGCTCCCATATACGTGATGCAATGCATCACCTACAACGGTCAGCAGGGCAATTGCAGCTCGTCTTTGTTCGATATCTCCAACATAAGCTTCACCAACTTCCGTGGCACACTCCAAGGAAGCCGCGTCGCCTACTTGCAATGCAGTCGGGCTCACGGCGGATGTGACGATGTCCGGATACAGAATATGAACTTCACCGACATCAGTGTCGATCCCCCGACTTCTGCGACAGGATATAGATGCAGCAACGTGAATGAACCTGAGGGATTCAGTTGCTGAGCTCTTGTTTGATAGGGTTGCCTATAGGGCTGTCAAGGAGGAGAAAGGATACCATCAGCTATGATAGGGTTAACCTATACTTCCGATTCTTATGGCCTACTTAACTTATAGTTACATGCGGCAGCCTATGAAAATTCCCCGGGGGCTCTATGCTTGTAAGATCGCAGGGGAGCAGGGATCATCAGTTTTTGCCTATCTCTTTCTTTCCATATTTTGATATTCCTCAAACAAATACAAATTTGACAAAATGTTCCAAATATCAGGTAAAATGTCTTATATTTACAACCGCAAACTGAGTTCAAAAAAGATCGAGGCTTTGATGATCATGATAAAGTGACGAGAATCAATATGAGAGGAAAAAGATAGCAATGAACGTGCATCTATATGTAGCAAAGGAGATAACGCTTGGATAACTTCTTTCGATACGTAACGGGTTCCGGTATCCCGTGAGATAGTGAATCGATGGCGAGTACCTAGTTATTGACTGAAAACACGTTACGTTAGTCTCACAATCGAGAAAAGTATTTCCAGAAAGGAGATGCATTCGGCGGTAGATGAGAGTTGTTAAAGAAGGTGGACCTTGTCCGGCTGAATTTGACTGCAGAAGGGGTCTTATGTTCAAGGTCTGCAGGTGATTGCAGCTACCGATTCCGGCTGCTTTCTGCTCCAGCACAACCGTCTTGTCTGCTGCAACATAGCGGGGTGAAGTCCAGTAGGGTGAAAGAACTCTGGAAATCTGGATGAGCACTTGAACAGCTGTTGTCTTCTAACTTGTCACGCATATGAACCGGGGGTGGCACTCAGTAAGCTCATCTGATATGGGTTTTTCCGTGTCTAACCTGTCGAAATGTGCAGTCTCCCACCAGCAATGATTTTTATTCGTCTATGTTCAGTGTATCCAGCTGCCACACAACTATAGCACTGACCCGCCTGTGGCGCGTGTCAACGCCACGAGGGCGTGTGTAGCCCACTGTTGAAGCCCAGAGGCTACCACTAGTCTCATCTTCTCTCACTCTGATTAAGTTGCCCCATAGAATGTGCCTCTGAAGCATGTAATGCTGACAATGACTCAACGTGTTGCGTAAGAGTCACGGGATCAAGAACAGAAAGAAACAGAAAGAACTTGCCCGCAGATGAATATAGGTAGTAATGTTAATCCTGATCAGAATGGCTGTGGTTCAGAACCTCCTGGCATTGCCAAAGTTGCGGATGATACTCCATTGGCAATCCCCAATTTGCCACATCCAAAACCCCGCCAAAGAACGGAGCCTCGGGTGTTGTTGTGCTGGCCATGCTGACCACATCCAACTGCGGGTACTGTTCAATATCAGCCGCTGAGGTAACCCTAATAAATCCTGCTGCGTCGCAGTTGCTGCTAACATTGCCCGGCTGGACAGCGGCTGTTGTTTTCATGGCGGTAGTATCTGCTGAAGAAAAGCTGGTATACTCTTCAGAGGTCATTGATCTTGTAGTTGGTACGCCATCGATAGGCGCGAATATTGAAACCTGTGCATTATGTGATGTAGGACCGATGGAGAGCGGGTTTGTCGCAAGGACAGCAGTGTCATTCAGGATAGAAGAAGCGACGTCAACCATGATACGAATAATGTGATACAATATGACCGATTGGTGATCTGGATCGTACTTCTGAAAGAAGGAGATCACAGCGCTGAGAAGACTGAGGTCTTGCGTGGCACTGGAAGCCATCTTATTGTGGAGAATGTTGACGAATAGAACGTCTGCGGACCAAGCTACCTGGTAAAGGAGGTATCTGGATCGCATTATTAGGTCGGCTCAGCTGGCTATAAGATAGTGCGGCTTACGGTGTGTACGGATGTTCTGTCTGATGATATCCAAGGAGTGAAATTGCCGCTCGAGAGGCAGAGACGCAGAGAGCCAGAGAAGGACCGATATTGTCGGGTTGGATGCCTTCTCGATCCTCTACGTATGGAAGACGGAACGCTGCGGAATGAATCGCCACCACCAGTTGAAAGTACGTGAAGTGCAGTGTCGTAAGACAAGCCATCCGTCTATAGTCTCCGTCAACAAGGCATTCGAAGCATTCAGGGTGAATCACCTCCGGGATGCCTCGCCTCCATTCTTCGAGTTCAGAGTCAAGACGAACAATCTGAGCCTCGAGCTCCGATGATGAGACTTTGGCGCTTGAGTACAGCTCTGACGAGATCCGTCCTTGTATCCTCGCTAGACGGACCTGTTGCAAAAAGAAATTGAGAGAAGCGTTATTGGGAAAGTGGTACATACTATACCCATCTGCTGGATACTCTTCTGGTAGGTCGAGTAAGAATTCATCCTTGATAAGTGGGGGCTGGCCAATACGAAGCATAAGGTCATGGTCGAGAATATAAGCCTGCCAAAAAAGCCGACGACGATGAAGCCGATCTGACGGGCTCAAAGTAGACGGAGTGAAGGCTGTGCGAAAGGTTTCTGGACGGTGATAGCCAGACATCAGAAGAAGCTGAACAGCGAGACCCAAAAGAGACTGGGCAACATGGTTTTCGAACGTGAACTTGTAGAATAGGACCTGGAAGATTCAGTATGGGCAATCTTCAGACGAAGGACGCGCTCAATTTACCATGGATAGGAGCGAGCCGATTGTCAATGGCGAAGGCGATCGAATGAGCACATTGGGAATCATGCCTAGAGCATTGTGAATGTATTTCTTGTAGACAGCCTTGTTGCGCATGCGACTTTGTTTGCGAAGGGTATAGGCAAGCATGACATTTACAGCCATCCACCAGCCAGGGTCTTCGATGCGTTGCCCAAGCAAATAGGATCGCATGGCGGTTTGTATCTCAGACTCCTGAAACAGCCTGATGCTCATGTTCGTCGTTGCCATGTATCCTACGGTTCACTTTAGTTAAATTTGGTTCCTCGTCATGCGACTTAGATGCACTACGATGGCGTCTTTACCATTCACGCAATCAGTAACGACTTGATGGTCGGGCAGTGGGTTATTCGTATCCTCAGGCTGCAGGTACGAAGCAGAGTGCAGGCTTTGAAATTGATGTCGGAGGTCGTTCAGTGCATCGGTGAGTCTTGAGTCGCCTACCAGACGTTCGACCTGTGCTAGACCTTGGCGTGAGAGCAGAGAGCAGGCACCTAGACAGTGGTTAGTTTGTTACCGTGTTGCTGATTATCACGTTTCCGGAACTCGTTTTATGTCAGTGAACGACACAAGGATGTGTGTTCACATGGTGTAGGGATCCCCGACTTACCTGTTGCGCAGATGACTTGCGGATGAGGAGCCCTCACATAATGCGCCATCCCCTCAGTGGAGGTGCTGGACATTGATATACGCTTGTCGGATTGTCCAGTCGGCGAATTCACATCGGTGGCGCTCCGACACAGCAGTGTTAGTCCAGTTGTCGAAGCAGAGACTGCAGAATCCGGTGGGTCGAGCGCAGTATCTGGCGATGATACATTTGATTCTGGTTTGATTTCGACCGGCGCGGCGTCATTGACCCGGCATATCGTCGCGGGTCGATTCTTCATTAACACCTCCTCCACTAAAAACTCCATTTGAGCCAATCTCTTGGCCGAATGATCGTATAGGCTTTTTCCGGAGTTACGTTAATAAAATTCCCCATGTTCGGAGTATCAGATAGGCAACCCAGTGGACACCAGGAATCACCATGACACACGTTGGAGGAACTGAGGTAGATTGTGTGATCAGGACTTACAGCCTTCGACGTTGTGTTGGGTGTCGGCCCTGAGGCCAGGTGCAATGCAGCCCAAACCTAAGACAGTGGGAGCAGTCTGGAGTTTTGTGATCGCATTTGACCTGCAAAGTGCGATACCAGATCGCCGGTTCACTGTTAGTCAATGCCCTTGGGTCTCATCTCAGGCGTGCAGGCGACCTGATGCTACTGCCTCGACAGCAACTTACGACAAGCCTGGGCAAAGCTTGAGCGAATCACACGCTGTCTTCACTTTCACTCAAGACAGACGCATCATCTACTGCCTGGAACAACCCGGACCAGTTACATGGAAAGTATAGACATACCTTGCGATGTCGACACGGAATACAAGCTAATGGACGAGGCGGACGATGCGCGTCACTCTTGTGGTTCGCAACTTCTCCATTGTGAAGGGGTTGCTGACGGTCTGGACTCCGCTCCGCGACCTCTCTCGAGTTGCCTCGTTCTGGGCTATTGTTGGTGCCTGACGTGGCCGGCTCTGATCCATGTTTGTCTGCCATTCTCGTACCGACTCTCCTTGATTGCACACGCTGTTTGATGCAATGGCCAAACTGAAATCGTTCGAAAATGAACTGTCGCTGGCTAGCTTTCTGAGTCGACGCACTTCGGCAATGGGTTGAAAAAAATCTGCTTGGCAGTGCTGGTGATTGTTGGCGATCGCTTCGTATAAACGTTGCTAGGCACGCAGCTTAGGGGCGGAAATTAATTTTCTCCGTCTGTATGGACTGGACGCAAAACGGTGTCTACACCGGTAATGGACTTAGGTAAAATCCGGGAATAGTTGGGTCTAAGAGTACCGGAATGCACTTGGAGCTCATCGCAAACCTTGTTGGCATCCACAACATCATTGCGTCGGACTTGGGGCGAACGGATTTCGGAGAGCGTCGGCAATCTGTGATTCTCAAACTCCAAGCTTCCGTCTGGCTAAAGGCAAGACCCAGACAAGTCTGGATCATCACACAAATACAAAATGATACGTAAACCCTCTATTCACCTCAGCTTAACATGACTCGGCACATGTATTGACCTTGCACGTTCAGTTGTCCTTCGTTTTTTACCGACTATTGGCGTATGACCTAGCAGCCTTTCAATATGACCAAGAAGGTTCTTATTGTACTCACCTCTTGTGGCACAATCCCAAAGAGCGGCAAGCCCACTGGCTGGTATCTGGTAGGTCCCCGACGCTCTTGAAAAACTTGCTCCCCGCCCAGATCTAATGGACATCTTCAAAGCCCGAGCTCGCTCATCCATATGATGTTCTAAAAGATGCTGGAGTGGAGCTGGTCTTCGCGTCCCTTGAGGGCGGGATTGCACCCCTTGATCCAGCTTCCGTCAAGGTCTTCGGCAACGATCCATCATCTCAGAATTTCCTGAAGAATCATCAACACACTTGGGAAAACACTGAACGCCTTTCCATGTATGCTGGTAGGGCATCTGAATTCGACGCCATTTTCTTCCCCGGTGGACATGGTCCGATGTTCGATCTGGCTTTCGACCAAGGGAGTCTGAAACTCGTCTCCGACTTTGCCGCACAGAACAAACCTATTGCTGCTGTATGTCATGGGCCTGGAGCTATCGTGAACGTCAAGAATCACGACGGCAGCTATTTGCTCGAGGGAAGACACGTGACCGGGTTTAGCAATATTGAGGAGGGCAAGGCTGGATATACTTCAGAGATGAACTTTTTACTTGAGGATCGTATCAAGGAGGTGGGCGGCAAATATGCCACCGCTGCTGCTCCTTTTGGAGAGATGGTAGTCACTGATGGCATTATAATTACTGGTCAGAATCCAGCGTCTGCCTACGGCGTTGGACAGGCTATTGTTAAAGCCTTGGGTCTTTAGTTCTTGCCAAAATGACAGTTTATGTATTTAACTATGGCTAGTTTTCTCTTTTCTTTCATATCAACTGCTTGCAGAGCGCCCTCATCACAACCCCCCCCCCCCCCCCCGAAACACCCATAAACGCGGCAGCAACGGCAGTGCTGCCATACGTTTGCATTGCTACGTGTGTTACAGTCAGCCTTGAGGCGCGAGCGGCTTCACACGACTTTTATTTTGTACTATGCGCACTGCCAACAGTTAGTCTTATCGCAATATTGTCGTGCGAGACTGGAAGATCTGGGAGTCTTCTGTGCCAACTAAGCAGCCCGTCCAGATCTGCCTTACGCTTTGTTCAGTAAAACCTTGTCTGCTATCACCCTCGATATCGTAGTGCCTGAACCTGATCTACAAGAACGGGCCATCGGAACGCGACTACAAAATGTGATAGTAAGCTGAGTTAAAGCGGTAGTGTACTTTTCGAGGCTGTAGACGGTTTTAGCGGTGATAACGGCTTCTATGAAGTCCGCTCCAGGTTCCCCGCATGCAACCCACCCTTGAAATGTCGATGAATCGCGCAAAGCGCAAAACCACTTCACCGTCATTTTGTGGGTAATCGTCTTCGACTTTGCTCTAACAACGGGATCAGCCTCCAACGCGAACCGAGGAGTACGGACTGGAACGAAGCAGTAAAGACCGATGCAAGAATGCATTGCCGTTTCCTTGGTTATAGAATTATTATAATTACCGAGGGTTGTTCACGTAGACTACCTCATTTCTGGCTAAAATATTGAGAACACCACACACTAGCGATCATGGCTGTCCAGAATCAAGTTGACAACAGTATTGAGCTTTCACTTCTGCATCACGTCGGGATGTTCATGGGTTTTATGATTGCGCTTGTCAGTACTACCACCACTCTCCCCTCTCTCGCCGTAATTCTTTTTTTGCGTTTTCTTTCTCTTGCTTTCCAACTCTTGACCTCAACTCCCCCGTACTCAGCTGACAACTCGGGCAATCCTTCAGATTATGACGTACCAATTATGTCTCATCTTCTACAACCTATTTTTCCACCCTCTCGCCAAGTATCCGGGTCCCCGACTGGCAGCAGCAACTCCCTTGTGGGTTATTTGGTCCTACTACAAAGGCAAGACACCGTGGGATCTTTTGGATCTTCATAACAAGTACGGGCCTGTCGTCCGAACCACGCCAGATGGGTTGTCATTCATCAACGCCAGTCAGTGGAAAGAGATATATGGCCATAAACCCTCTGGAGAACTCGAGTTCTCAAAGGATCCGAAGTATCACGCGGGGTGGAAAGGAGAGCCAGTCATTCTCAATGCCGATCGTCATTATCATGGCTACATTCGCAAGCTTTTTGCTCATGGTTTCTCCGAAAAGGCTTTGAGAGAACAGGAACCAATCCTGCAGGAGTATGTCGACCTCTTGTTTCACAGACTTGACAGCATCAGCCAGAGCGAACAGCCTATAGACCTCGTACAATGGTTCAACGTGAGTACCCGGAGATTCTAATGACTGGGCCCGAATGAGAAGATATCGATGTGGTACGGTTAATGTGCTAATCGAACACATCTCAATCGCAGTATTTTACATTTGACTTCATCGGCTACTTAAGTACGTCACGATAAGTTCCCACTCAATGTTCATTCCTACTTATGGTAATGCCTAACTTGAGCAATCAGCCTTTGGCGAGTCCTTTGAATGTCTCGAGTCTTCCAAAATGCACACCTGGGTGAACATATTCTTCTCATTACTGAAGAATATGGCGCTGCATCAAGTCGTTGCCCGTCTGCCGAAGTTAGCTCAATATCCTGCTTCTCTGTGAATGATTCCAAGTCAAGTAGTGACACAAGTCGCGACTCTTAACACACTACAAAAGGTTGAATCCCTTCTGTTCTGTGTCTCTTTGGCTTGACTATTGACACCACTCAGGAAAAAGTCAATCATCGTCTTAAAACACAACCTCCAGTGCCGGACTTCATGGAAAAGATGATTGCTGCACACGAATCTGGCAAAATGTCATACCACCAGCTAGAAGAAAACTCACAAATCCTGATTGGTGCAGGAAGTGAGACGACAGCTACTCTCCTTTCTGGTAAGCAAGATCTTGTTCCAATACTTTGGCGTGTGATCAATTGACTTTCTTGCAGGTCTCGTTTGGCTTTTGCTCAAGCACCCACGGGTCTACGACAAGCTTGCTACCGAGATCAGGACGATGTTCGAAAGGCCTGAGGACATCACAATGATCAGCGTCAACGAATGTCGGTATCTGCTTGCCTGCATCGAAGAGACACTGCGCATCTACCCCCCTTCACCACAGCCTCATCCGCGTATTATCCCTCCTGGCGGTGCAACAGTTGACAATGAATTTCTTCCGGAGGGCACATTTGTCAGTATTCCGATCTATGCCGCCTCGAACAGTCCTATGAACTGGACCAATCCTGAGGAGTTCGCGCCGGAGCGTTGGATCGGAGAAGACGCAAGATTCGATAATGATAAACGAGATGCGTCGCAGCCTTTTCAGTACGGACCACGCAACTGCATTGGCAGGAATCTAGCATACGTTGAGATGAAGATCATAATGTCTCGACTCCTGTGGCACTTTGATGTCATGAACGCAACGGATTATAATTGGATGGATCAACGAGTCTTTGCAGTGTGGGAAAAATCACCTTTGTGGGTGAGACTTTGTCCCGCAAAACGCACTTAGTACAAGTGACAAGATGGAACCAATTTGCTGGCAGGCAGAAAAGACTCACGAGGGACACCAGGCTTTAACATAGATGATATCTCACGCCCTAAATAGACTGATATGGGTTTCTGCGTCTATCCGTCTTCGCCGTTATCTGTCTCATCAACCCTGAACAGCCCATACTTGTGATGTTCATCTACTTTCTATGCTCTTTTGAAGCCCTTCAGCTCTTTATAACGTGAGCATGGGTATCTGTGATATTGGTGCGATTCGTTCCAATAAAGCATCTCCAAGACAGCGTCCTATCAACGGTGGCTGAAGCGCGTCCGTATGATGGACGTTTTGTGGATCGTGGAATGCTGTCTAGAGTGGAATACTAGCCAGACCTCGCGAACGAGGGGCAACCTGTTGTGGAGCTTGAGTAAGCCGCTTTTCTACTCCGCATAACTCTCGGGTGGTCTACCACGATGTGTTTTGACGTCTGACTCGCAAAGCATTGAAGGTGATAGTCGAAGTAAAAGATACAGTAAGGTAACAGATATGAAAATGCAAATCAAGCGAAGGGAATAAGTAAGATGAGGTATCCGTTTATAGTGCTGATAAGTTTTCCTCATAATAGCCAGGTACGTGATAGCTTTTGAGACGGTGTAGCAACATAGGTGGATATCAAACAGGTAGGCTTCGAGGTGAGTCCTGAAATCGTCATCCCCGGGATTTACATATGGGGCAAGACCGAGAAGTCACCATCAGGAGTAATTCACTTTTCTAGTCAAGGAGGGCTCACGGCTGTAGAGCTAAGATAAGGTAGGGGTTGAACCTACGACCCTTTATCATCGGACTATTCTGCTGTCGAGCCTCGGCTGCTCGAACGAGGCGGGGCTTGGATCCTTTGTGATTCTGCTGATGCACTAGCTTGAAGCCACTGACCATCAACTCGATAGGCTTTGTCTAGGGTAATAGGCTCTAACATCAAGCCGAAAGATGGCTGATACGCTGCCTGACAGGGGACTTTGATCCTCAGCAGTATCAAACCGCAGTACCGACGCAAGATAATCGGTCATTCGACTTGTCAAGGACTTCGGGCTAGTCTGGGTCTTTTCGGAAGTCTCTTCTCGCCATTTGTGCGGAAGGCAACCCGTTTTAACGTGGTGTACCGGAACATGAGACAATCACGACTTTTCTCCCCTACCCAATCAAAATCGAGATAGAATCCAAAGTCGGTTCCAGACTAATAAAATTCCTATCTGAAATAGCGCAAGCTGCGAACCAAGAACCGGACTGAAAGTTCACACATACTTCTTTAACCACATTACTCACTGCCTCTTTTCGGTGGCTGCACAAAGTTCGCAGAGTATGCATGGTATAGACGATACTAAGCACAGGAATCCAGTTCTTGGGTCCTGGACAATCTCAAGCCCGAGGAAGTCTCCATGATCTCCGGACTGAAGAAATCTATTGTAGCAGGAACGGACAACCATCGGGGTTCAACAAATTGCAACCAGTGGGTCATCTACACTGGAACCCTATGCTTACTTCGCTCGATCAATTCCTCAACGTATTTCTCAAGGGGGGTGGCTTGGACATCAGGATAAAGTTTCTTCGCGTCTAGATATCCCAAGTATGCAGCATGCTCAAGAGCGTTATCCCTTCGCACGCCCAGCAGGTTAGGCTCTTTCGCAGTAAGGTAGAAGGTTGGCGCAGTCTGTCTCTTGACAAACGTGGAATCCGGAGCAATGTGATTATCCGCTACCACCAGAATTTGCCACCCCCCCCCCCCCCCCCCCCAAAGGCCAAGTGATTAAGACTTCTTGAATCTAAAGTGTACACATCATGTTCCTGGAGTGGCAGCAGATGATGATGTTTTGATCCAAAGGGCAACTCGCGACTGTGGTTCTCTCTGCGATGCGAGCGTTGGTGCGACATGCTTGGTTTGTCTACCGTCATTTTCGTTCAACCTGTCACATACGACCATACCCATTGGAAAACTCGGGATCCCGTCCGCTCTCCCATAGATAAGCCAATGAGGGCCGGATTAGTAGTTGGGTCGGTGACGACCAGCGAATACCTGGTGTTGTATGTTTTTGACACTGTCTGAATTTTTTTGAAGTTTCACCGATATTACACGATGTGGCCGAGCAGGCGAACTTTGCTGTCTTCGACTAGGTTGACAAGTTAAGTAACTAACATATGACTAATGCAACCTAAGTCTTAGTGGGCATGCACGGACAGCACCGCCTCACCAGCAAAACAAGCCCTCCGCCACAAATCCAATCTCGGCTCACCCGGGGCCTTCGTGGAAGAATTCCCGAACCTCATGACCACGCATATATAACGGCATGGCCGGCCTAATGGTTAACTTCGGCCAGCAACTTATGTAGTTTTCGTCTTGGCAAGCTTTCTCGCTGGAGAATTCTGAAGCTGATTGTGTTGATTCCACTTGAGGGGAACTTGTCTTGGCCGTAGCCAGTTAGCACTATGTCCGCACGAACTCGGTGCAAAGTAAGGTAGTTGAGACAGAGGTTCTAAATTTCTTCAGGTCGCCGCAAGAAATCCCGCCATACTAGTCTGTACTCAAGCTTTGCTACATGTGCCATTCAAAATGCCTTTTAAACGCCTTTAATTCCTAGCATGGTCATCGGCTTCCCAGGACAGAGATTTAACGTGGGGCCCCATGGGCTATTAATACGACATTAGTATGGAGTAGCTCCATCCGCCTCATCCTAGTCACAATCTTATCCCGTTTATGCTTCCACGCCCTAGTGGGTTCTCAACAGGGAGAAGAACGGCGAAACACGAATTGACCAAGGTTCCGGGTCAAGAAACCGAAGCCAGTCCCATTGGTAGGTCTCCTTGCAGGCGAACACGAACATGCCAAGGCATCAGAAAGGGGCCAACTGGTTCTAGCGCGGGGAAATAGAGGAACATCCCGGACGTCTACTTGGGTTGACGAGCCGCATTTTGAACACGAGCATGCCAAGAGCGTAGAACGGGCCACCGTGTGACATCAGAGCCGGACCGCATGGGTCAACACCGAAGTTAGATCAACGGCATCCATATCATCCACTACGAAGGGACCAAGACTAGGCGGAGGGACCCGCCTCAAAGCAGGGCATCTCGTAGGACAGCAGACATAAGAGGTGGTCATGGCCACGATGCCGGCTTCTCCTCTACCTTCTGACCAGTTGTCAAACGTATTCGCTCTATCGCCATCCTCACATCTCCTATCGGCTCGTGGCTTGGGCCGTCCTTCGTTACAAATCAACCCATCCGTCACTCGTTCAACCATCCCTTCACTCCACGATGCTGTCCAGCTCGCTCCTCACCCTCTTCTCGCTCGCAGCAACGGCCGCCGCAACCGCAATCCCTCGCGCAGACACCACCTGCACAAATCCAGAGGTCCGCAAAGAATGGCGTGAACTCACCACAGCCGAGAAAGCAGAGTACATCCGCGCCGCCGTGTGCCTCCGCAACCTCCCCAAAGCCAAATACGCCGCCATCGACGCCGTCACAACGCGCATGGACGACCTTGTCTACACCCACTTCGCTCTCAACACCGACATCCACTTTGTCGCAAACTTCCTGCCCTGGCACCGCTGGTACGTCAAGCTACACGAGGATCTCCTCCGGTCCGAGTGCGGCTTCAAGGGAACGCAGCCCTACTGGGACTGGAGCATCGACGCCGACGCGCTCGATACACAGCACTCCCCCGTCTTCGATCCCGTCACTGGCTTCGGTGGCGATGGCAAGCGCACAAGTAGCGACGTGCCGGGCTTTCAGCGGTGCGTCATCGACGGTCCGTTTGCCAACACGAATTTGACATTGGCTATGGGGTGGCCTGATATGAACACGCCCGGAAACCGACTGCACTGCTTCACGCGCGAGTTCAACGGCGGCGAGGGTAATGACGCGAATGGCGATCCTATTATTGGTGATATGCAGGCGGGAGCATACAACTCGAGGACCATGAACACCATCTACGGTTTCGACAGGTTCCCCGATATGGTCTCCATGCTCGAGGGACTGCCGCATGCGCAGAGTATGTCATCTCTTTTCTTACTTAACTTCGGTCATGCTAACAGACTTGCAGTTCACAGCATCATCTTTGGCGACATGGGTCCCGCCACCTCGCCCAACGAGCCTCTCTTTTTCCTTCACCACGGCAATGTTGACCGTGCCTGGGCCAAGGTAAGTCCCGCACACAGCTGAGTGGAATTACACAAGATGCAGTATCTGATTTCCTTCGCAGTGGCAAGGCCGTAACGCCACCCGCCTCGCCGATTACGCAGGCTTCAACAACGCGGACAAGACCATCTCCGCCTCCATCACAGATACCATGCCCGTTTTGGAACTCGTCGACGTCGAACCCGTTGTCAAGGATTACATGGACACCCTGAGTGGCCCTCTCTGTTACACCTATTCATCTATGTAAGAATTGTGTGAAACTCTGGCTTAGATCCATTTACTACGATTCAGAAGTCAGCAGAGGCATGTAAGTGGCTTCAGATTGACAGGCAGCCATGAGAGGTGCGCCGCGCCTGAGTTACACATGTGATCTTGGAAGTTTGGCCGGTTCAGAAAACATCCGCAGTTTAGATATACCCATTTGAATGCAATAGTTTTTACACGATTTGTTACTCCATGAATCGGCAGGCTTTGCGTGATAGCATTGACATGATCTCTCTCTTATGTCGTCGTTGAGATCCAACTCTTGGAACCCTGTCCAGATGTGTAAGTCGGCCGTTCGCTCCGAGCCAACGCCTTGTCCACTCTGACTTCAACCTCAACTTGTTTCTGGATCCTTGATACCTTACCATCCGTCGCATTTATGATGTCCATCTCTGTGCCGTCGTACCCCTTGTAATGTGGTACAAGACCCCGTTCGCTGTGATTATCAGCGGCGTCGGAGCCACTACCATTGCGAATGTAACCGGCCTGGCTCCTGGGCACACTCAACCATGGCCCTGTCTTTGAACGCATACCACCACCGCCAGTCCCAGATGGCCCCTCTCCTCCGTAACTTTGTAGCTTGCTGCGGAAGCCCAGCTTGAAAGACATGATGCGGATGAGCGGCTGGAGTGCTGGGAAGGACGCGACCCATAGGCCGACATGCCCCTCAAGGTTGGTCCAGATACCAATCGTGGACATGTTAAACGTCCTAGCGACTGTTCTTAGCTGTGTATCTCGGTGTTCCTAGCAGAGTGGCCTGCAAGGCCAGACTTACGGGTCAGAGAGAAATTGACTCTTCTTCATCATTGCCAGACGAACGCAGCCAGTAGCCACAACAAAGATGCCGACGCTGAAGACACATATCACCTGGAATGCCCTCTTCGACCAGAGCATCTTGGTGTAGATCACCCAGATAGGTAAGCCCATGAGGCAGAAGTCCAGGACCAAGCCGACGATCTGGTGCACCACCATCATAGTGTTTTGGTATTCGGACGGGACACAGTTCTTTCCAGGAAAGAAGGGCGGCTTCCACAAATGCCTATCGAAGAACAACTGTCAGAGATTGGTGGCCTTATGACAGGTGACTTAGGAGAGACGTACGAGAGAGGGCTGCACTGGGTCAAGCGGTAGATGACACATCCCAGTGTCTGCGCTATGACGAAGAATCCCGTCGTGTAGGATAGAATAATGAAGGTTCCTGTGCATGATATTAGGTTTTAAGTGATACTGGTAGTGAGATCGTATTGAATGCATACTGTCTTGGCTCAAGCGTGGCAGGAAGGCAACGATTGAGAGTCTCATTAGGCCAGTACCGATGAGGTAGAGCAGGCCATTCGTGACAATTCCCTACAATCAAAAGACTTATGAGCATCTTTGGAGGGATGAAAGAAGACTTGTCAGTTCAGACTCACCTCGAACCATGTTGTGAAGTCAGCCTTCGGGATATACTTGAGATGCGCGCCACTTCCATATTGCACCACTGAGATGGCATTAGTTATGAATCGTCTTTTTTGATATTACATGAACTCACGCCAGATATCCATAGCAGACTCTGAAGTCAGTACTGCCTAGATGTGCGCAAATCTCAGTCAGAGACCCAAGTAACTCATCTTCATCCAGTCAAACGGTGAGGTGGCGACTAACCCATGCGAGGAATGCCAGGACGTCGTCCAAACCCAAGGCTTTCGCGATGAAAGCGCGGACAAATTGTCTCAATCCCACTATTATAGAAGTGCAAACTATGAGCGCAATATTCAGTTGCAAGATCTTGGGCCCAGCATATCCTGGAGATTCCGTGAAGTGAAGCGGTGAGGTTGCTGCTGTCGCTGCCATCTTGCTGATATTGCAGCCGCGGGGAAACTCGAAAAGCGAGGAAAGAGAAACACCAGAAAAAAGGCAAGGGACAGAAAAGAAGGAGAAATGGAATTCAAACAGCGAGTACCATGTCTGGACTCCAGAATAACAAAGGAAGAATTCGCAATCGAGCAGATGCGTAGACTGCAGGCCGCCCGAGTACCAGGGTATGGGATTTTTTCAATGCATAAGTACCAAGCCAAGGAGTCTCTTCATCATCACCGTGCCGCACACATACATCGCGAAATATGACTTGGTTGTGTCTACCATAGGATTTACCGAGGAATGCACTTCGGACATGGATCTCCGTGTAGGTACCCGACTCATCCGGTGTATCCGTACCTGCGTCGGTAAATTATGAAATGCGGTTCGAGTCACTGCTGGCATTTATCTGAATGTGAAATTGCCTTTGCATCCAACGCAATATATGATGACCTGAGCTGGTGCGAACGAGGCGCTCTGCTTCTTCTGCTAATCTTCTTCTCCACAGATCCTCTCGGAACCGCATCTACTTTACTTGCCTGTACCAGAGCTTTGAAAGCAATTGGTGAGGACGACCCAGGTCTGAGTTGCAGTATCATCTAGATTATGATCAAAACCAACAGCTCATCAATAGAGGCACTAATTCCGGGTTTGTGGGATTAGCCAAGAATTTTCAGTGGCACCCAATCAATATCAACATGTCCATGAACCATCGAACATTGGCATAAAGATCTCAATTCATAGGAGACTCTTCCCAGACCGTGCCTATTTCTCCCACATTCCGAAGGGCCAACTAGAACGCAGTCGGTTTCAACATGGAGGCGTATCTGCCAAGTGATGGTCAGAAATCATTCCAATCGGCCAGCTTATCCGGTTACCTTGCGTTCGGCTCCAAAGAAAACGAGCGGAGATGATGACCCAACTTGGAAGGCCAATCTAGAAACCCTTGCCAGCGACAACCAACAGTCAACAACCAACAAACGGCAGACATTTTCTTGCTCTTTTGGTGTACATCTTACGATTACCTACATGTTGTGGTTGTGATAGGGTCGCTTATACTGTCCCTACGGGATGGCTCCACCAACGCCACGAACCAACACAGCTACTCCAGATTTGATGCCACGACTGCAAGTTTGCATTCTGAAAACCTAACTTCTGCCATGAAGCCTCTCTAATTCACTTGAGAAGCTTTGTGGCATTGTGGAAGTCGCAATGTATTTGAGACTTTGGGGTCAACTCAACATCAGGCACGAGAGCCCCGTCAAAGTGGCATTTCTAGCTATTAGCAACGCGGAGTTGGTTGGAGAGAGCTTCGTGACCCGGGGCTCATACGATTGGACAGGGAACCAGCCACGAACGTTCACGGAGACCTTGGCAGGGATAGTGTACCAACCTTCTTTCGACGCCGCACACTAACGCAAGCATCCTGCAGGTTCCTTTCCTTTGCCTGCAGATTGCAAGGATGTTCGTCTTTTCCAGCATTCGGCGCTGTCCTCCCCCGAGGAGCGGCCGACATACCGACGAATCATTTTAGCCCCTTTAGCAAAACCATTTCATTCTTCTCTGTTGAAGATTTGCGATTCGAAACCTTTTCTTCAAATTCATGTGACGAGAAGCTGAGTCAAGTTTGCGATCCAGCACAGAGGAAGGGCCCATGGATTGCGGCACAGCCCGAGCGATCCTTCGAGTATCATATTTCTGATAAACATTGATGTTTGGTCGGCCGGCTAAGTTGCAAGTTGCAACTCAACTGCTTCCCGAAAGCTCCGTTGCCACATCCACTACTGAGTCGATGGCAAGGTTACATCCCACAACCCGGTGTCCTGCAACCAGGGTCGCGATCCATGGCCCGACATGGACCGACAAGACCAGTATCTCTCGGGGTGAAAGTTGATATCCGGTTCCTCTCGACCTAGCGCTTTGCTACCAAAAGGCTGCGTATGCCCATCTCAGAAGCTCGCTCGAAGTCCATCCCCAATTGATCGGACGAGTCCTATGATTGGTCGCGCGTGAAGATAGCCTCACATTCAACAAATCTCTCGCAACGGCCTCTATCGCCTTCATCTAGACTTCCGCCATGTGGTCTCTCTCGTCACTTATCTTGGCTGCCGCGTCTTTTGCGGGCTTCCAACTGCAGGGAATCGCTGCCGCTCCTACGAATGGAACTCACTCAGGATGTTGCCGCAACCCTCTCGTCAGACATGAGTGGCGGCAGCTGTCCCTGGACCAACGTCTGGATTACATTCGCTCCGTCAAGTGCCTAATGGCTCTGCCGTCAGAGGGAAACGATCTTTGGCCTGGGGCAAAGTCTCGCTTCGATGATTTCCAGGGTATGCATATCTACATGACGCAGAAGGTGCATTTTAACGTAAGTTCTACCCTCAATGCTTTAGCCAAAGTAAGGCTATATTAGAATTGGAAAGTCTAACGGTTGATCGTGACAGGGTCCATTTCTCCCGTGAGTAGAAGATGTGCAATGCTCGGATCAAGTTTGACGTCCGTTTCAACTGACAGTGCCCAGATGGCATCGTTGGATGCTTTACCTGTACGAGTCTGAGTTACGCAACAAATGCTCATATGACGGCGCACTTCCGTACTGGGATGTCAGCCTAGACAATACTGCGGAAACTTTCGTCAACTCGCCTGTATTTGACAACGTTTACGGCGTCGGAGGCAACGGACCATACATCGAAGACGTGAGCGATAAGGATGAGTTCCCGGTTCAGAAGCCGATTACAATCCCGGGCAGAAGCGGCGGCGGTAACTTCTTCACTCCAGAGCTTGACACAGTGGCATCTGGCTAACAGAGTGGATAGGCTGTATTGTGGAAGGACCATTTGCAAACCACACCGTCCCCATGGGCCTTGGTAAGTTGCGTTGTCGAGCCTCAGACGACGATTGTGTTTAAAACTCGCCATGCTGACGGGCTAAGGATTATCTGTCACCTCAACACCCCACTGCCTGCGCCGCGATTTCAGTCTACCCATCATCACGAGTGCCCTTAGTGACGAGGTCATCGACAAGACTCTCGCAGCGGCCACATTTTCCGAATTCAACCTGGCCATTCAGGGGTATAGCATGCAGGTTAGCGGCATGACTTTGCATGCGGGCTTGCACATTGGCATTGGCGGTGCAGTTGGCGATGTAAGCAGCCGTGACTTCCTGCTAGACTGATGGTTTCTGGTTGACAACTTGGCTGACCCGTGATCACCCGTTAGTGTGCTGACATGTACTCCTCTCCCGGAGATCCCGTCTTCTACTTCATCCATGGCGCTTTGGATAAGGTTTGGAATGACTGGCAGCGTAGAGGCAAGTTTCCTTTCTTGTTTTACTGGATAGTCGCATTTCTGTTTATTACTTGCAGTACTAATCAATACTTTCAACGTTGCAGACTGGCCCGCGCGCAAGACGGACATCGGCGGCCCGGATGTGATATTTGGTTATCCGTTCAATTACACCACGAATCCCGCCTACGAGAATATCACTCTGCAGTATCCCTTGTCTTACCCTAATTTCGGCAAGGATATGATTGTTGCTGATATGATGGATATTCACGGGGGTCCTTTCTGCTACGAGTACAAATGAGGGTGCCCGGGGACGGCCTGCAGGCGATGAAAATACTAATGCTGTAGCGAGGGCATCGATCAGACGCCTCGCTAACATCAAGTACTGAAAGTACCTGGAGTAATAATATAATGTAACATTTGACATTAGACTCTCGTTCTTGAGGAAGTGGAAACATTTTGTCGTCACGTACACTGCTAGATGGGATTCACTGACACGTTGAGAACCTATTATCCCATCCCGATGGAGCAAGACTGCCACCAGCAGGCAGTTATGACCTTGGTAGCGTGCTTCGTTAACTCATTCACACATCCATTAGGCTGACCAAGAATATAGATTTAGATCTTTGTGATTTTCAAGCTAAACAGCGTTGACGGACCATAACCCTTGGCGATTTGCTCCCGGGGTTTAGGAAGCCCCCACCAGCGGCGGGATATCCGAAAGCTAACGTCGGAACTCCATACGACACGTGCAAGTGATCAGCCTCCTTTCTTCTCTCCTTAAAAGATGATTTCTTTTTTAGCTCAGGTTCGGCGAACGGCGTAACGTTTTGGCTTGCGTCTGTCCAGACCCGACTTCGGCTCGAGGAGAGCCAGGAATGAAAGGCCACGTACCTTAGGGCCAGTCTCGGCTACTCGTAGGATCCGAAAGGCAGTCACTTAAAGTCATGGTAGCTTCTAAGATCAAAACACTACAGGCTGAAGTTCACGATCCAACCGCCCCCAGCCATATCAAATGAGGAGGAACGTGTAAGTTTCATCGGCTGGGGACAAATGCCGTCCCACCACCTCAGCTCAACGTGCATGAACCCCCTCATCCCATCCGCCACACTGAGACAACACACCAAGCTTTTCCTTGTAGACGAGGAAGGCGTGCGCTAGGCGCCCCAAGCTCCAAGCAGGGAACGCCACGCTCATATCCTCTTCTACGGTCTCACCTCAGCCGCAGAGGCCCAGCCCCACGGCACCCTCACCTAGCGTGACCACTAAGTCAACATACCCACTTCCTGGCACCCCCCTGTTTCTGGCACCCACAAAAACGCGAAAATCCACCACAACCCAATGCCCACCCCCAACCTCCTTTTATCACAACATTTTCAATTCGCGTCCAAATGGGCTCATCTTTTGCACATGTCTTCTTCTATATATAATGCCTCAATATACCGAAGATCAGCTTCGTCAGGCTCTCGAGGA